GGAAATTGGCCTACCGTAACAAGAAATGCGCGCAAAGAATTCGAGAATTTTAGGCACTTTCAGAGGATGCATTTGTCAAGGGATGGGGAAGATTTTCCCCTTGTCCACCGGTGTTTTAATTCTAATTTCGTTGGAATTGATCAAAACTCCCTAAAATGTGCAATTTTCAGAGGAAATTGGGCCATGTTAACAAGAAATGCGCGCGAAATTTGAGGTTTTTAGGCACTTTCAGGGGATAAAGGGCATTATAAAGGGGTGGGGAAGATTTTTCAAAGATAGATATTTTCCCCTTGTCCTCCAGTGGTTACGCCATTGGGCAGCATAGATCAAAGGAGTTATGACAGTTTTTGAAGTGGAGAAGGGGTTGCAGGGTGTTGTGAGTCTGGTCATTATGATATCTTCCTTTTTATTCTTGTCTTTATTTTTCTCTTCTCTTTTTCTTTATTTTTCTTTTCCTCTTCTTTCTCTTTCCCTCCCTCTCCCCTCTTTCTTTTCTCTTATTACCCAGCCCGGTACGACGGCTTGGTCAGCCCGGTAAAACCGTCAGGGGAGGGGCAGTTTTACCCCTGCCCCCACCCCCCGCGCCTGTTAGACACTGGCTAACAGGCCAATCATCCCCCCAATGAAAAATATTTTTCTACGCCACTAACTCTAGCTAGTCCTAGCCTAGCTAGTAGGGCGGTCCTACGTGACTGGTGCTGGCGGGCCTAGCTTAGGTCTAGGAGGCTAGGTGCTGCAAGGCCTGCGCTGTCTTATCCAGTCTGCGAATGTCACCCTTAATTAATGAACGGGGGTGACAGGCGACACATACCCAACTATTTTAAGGGGGTGTTTATAAGATCTTTGTTTGAGAGTGATGTAGAAGTTTTTCTGTAGAGGGCCTCCTGTATGCAGGCCAAATAATAATGCCTGCGCCCACCGACATTTATTGTAGATGATTAATTTCTCAGCTTTGGTACAGCCTCAGGCAATGGTAATGGGGCAGACTGGAAAGGGTTAATATTCTCCTGCGATAAATGGCACATGACTTAAGTAGTAAGACGATGTTTGAGTTTCCCTTAAGGAAAAATGAATTTAAATCTTTGAAGAAAAAAAAAAGGAGAAAAAAAACATTCTATTATCAAAATGTGTACATTAGTAAGTACCCGAATTTAGTTCCCTGCTGTGCCTTAAAGTTTGTTTTCAAATTCATTTTGTTCTCAGTCCGAGCATGTTGTTTGATAGTTCCTAATTTATTTAGCAAATTATATATTGTTTTAGCTAAGCCTATTTTACCCAGGTAATTACCATACATTACATAACATTTAATAGTTTTGCACATCATCAAGTTTTAATACCGAATACATATTTGTTTGTTTGCAATATAGGTCAGTTAAGACCATAGCCATGCATATCCGTTGTAAATAATAT